TATCCTTAAAAATACTGTCCATGACAGCTTGGAAAATTCCAGGGCTAGATGATATGCCAAAACATAGTCTTTCATATTGGTAGAGTCCTTTATGTGTGTTTATTGTCGTATAGACTTTTGAATCTGGATGCAGTTCTAGTTGAGTGTAAGCATGACTAAAGTCTAATTCAGTGAATTTGTCTCCTCCTGCCAAATTCAAAGAGATTTCCTCAATGTTAGGTATAGGGTACCTATTTAGCTCTATTTGCTTATTCAGTGTAGTTTTATAATCTCCACAAATTCTTATAGAACCATCCTTCTTTAACACTGGCACAATGGGCGACGCCCAATCGGAATAGTCTACCTTCTTTATGATGCCATTAGATTCCAATCTACTTAGCTCATTTTCAATTTTATTCCTCATTGCATAAGGTGGAACTCTAGCTTTGCAGTATCTTGGATTTGTATCTTTAATGCTTAACTTCACTGTTCTATCATTTAGTAATCCTGGATTACCAAAAACACATTTATTTTCAGATATAACTTTATCTAGTGAAGTAAGACTAGATTCTTTTATATTCTTCAATGAACAAATACTCTCCCAATTTAACTTAAGATCACTTAACCAGTTCCTACCTAGTAATGGTGGTCCATTTCCTTCAACCACAAGAAGAGGAAGTTTAACACTTTGACCATTATAACTTACATGAACCATACACTCTCCTATTACCGGAACATTGTCACCAGTGTATGTTGTTAGACACTTGTGACATGATTGTAGAGGCACTGATCCTCCTGTGACAGCGTCAAAATCTTTCTTTGTTATGACTGTTAGAGATGCTCCAGTGTCAAGTTGGAAGCTGATGCTCTTACCGTTGATATAAACTGGTACATTGATGGGAGCATGACTTATTGATTTCACAGAGAACAGGTTGAAATCCGGCTGCGAATCAGTTTGAGTATTTTCACAGGTAGAGTGGTTCATTGGTTGGGTTAGGTAGTCTTGGTGAGAGTTAACATAGTGCTGCCTTTGGTTGCGGTACTGTCTTGACTGGCTAGATTTAGCAACAGACGAAGACTTTGCAAAGCAGGCCTTGGCAATGTGACCTTGCTTACCGCACTTATAACAAGTTGCTAACTTGAACTTGCATCGATGAGATGCATGGGGACCTTTGCATCGATGACATTTTTGATAATTATTACTAGATTTAGATCTAGGCTTTGAACGTGCAGGCTGTTTAGCATAAGTTGAAATGCTCTGATGGGGTTGGTGTTTGTTGACTAACCTGCTGTTTACTGTATGGATCTCTGAAGGTGCTAGAGATCTCGCCGCATCGGATGACTGCTGGAATGAAGTTGCGAGTTGTATTGCTTTTTCCAATTTTAGATCTGACTCGAGCAGCAACTTTCTTTGAATATCAGGGCTGTTTACACCTGTCACAAACTTTTCACATAGTCTGTCAGACAGCGTATCGCCGAATTCACAAAATTCACTTAAATGACGTAAAGCAGCAACATATTCTGATATTGACTCGTTTGGCTGACGAGTCCTACTGTCAAATCTAGCTCGACATAGAAACTTTGATGGGGTAGGCGCATGGTGGTCTGTTAGCAATTTGCTCAGCTCGTTAAAGCTCTTGGTAGTTAGACTAGCTGGTGCGCATAAGTCTTTTAGTAGCCTAAATTGTTGAGGCCCTATGACTGTTAACAAAACAGCTCTCTTTTTGGCTTCTATCGTCACGTCGTTTGCTTCAAGGTAAAAGCTTAACCTATCTAGGTAATCTTGAATGATTTCATCATTTGAATCAAATTCTTTTATTTGGCCATACAGCGCCATTATTCTAGAAATACTTAGCTAATAAGCTCTAGCAAACCTCTTTTTTGCGTAAGTAGGTGCTCTTTCTAGTAGATTTTTATCCTCGTCGCCAGATATAATAGATTGACGATAGAAGCATGTGGTTGTATATAACGTTTATTGGGTCTAACTACATGTTGATACCACAGAGAGAGGAAGACGGAAGGAAGTACAATGCACAAGGGACATCACTCAAGATAACAATATAAATATAATACTAATACAGAAGAGTGAGTTCCCTTGACCTCACAATTATCTCAATCTATTACAATGACATTGCAAGAAACTGTACCCATTGATGTAGTTATACGAAATCTTTATTCCCAAAATGGCAACGGTGCTTAATTAAAGTAAGTGCAAAAAAAAAGGGGGATTTATTAAACAATATCTCAAGCTCTTTTCTTTTAAAAAACTATTACCAAAGACTTCAAATATCATTTTGCTTTTAATATTGTTTCTTTTTTTTTCTTAAAAATCAATACCAATTTGTATAGAGATCTTTCCTACCTGACTGCGTTTAGTAATTCCTTAAAGAAAATGAATACTTCAAGAACAAAATGATTTTTTTTATAAATTTTTTTTTTAAATTAAGGTTATAACTTTTTAACTTTTCTTCCTAAATTACGTCTTTAATCTTGCCATATAACGCTCTTTTTTACAATTTTTTTACAAGTATTTTTTTAACTTGCTTCCTCTGTCTTCAGTCTGTCTATCAGTCGTCATAGATCGATACGAGCGAGCAAAATTTCGGGCACTTCTAACTGACAGATTCGTTTCAGAGTTTGCAAGACTTGAAGACAATGCAATCTGGTATTCAATTTTACTTAATTGGATAACTAATTAATGTTTTATGAATGAATCAAAATTTTCTGAAATTAGTAGGCATGCTTATACTATTCTTTCCGCCCGTTTGGTGCGCAATATTTTTAGTCATAAATAAAATTTTAAAGTACTGAATTTATTTTTTATAAAAAATGTTTTAATAACAAGCTTTTATGTAATAATGCATTAAAAGGAAGAAAATTAATTATTGTCTTTAAATATATTATAATACCCTTCTATTTAAATTTCTATTAAGAAAGTCGGAGGCAGTGCAGTGTTTCTTCCAGACTTTTTTTTCTCCCGGGGGAGGGGGAGGGAGGGGGAGAGGGACAACATTTTCCGGAGGTTCGGACACTGGTAAAAGTATGTTTCCTATATAAATTCCATTTCGAAGAGTAAGCACTGCGTCTTCAAATTTGATGTTGGCACAGTTCTTAGACTGAGTACGATATATCAGGTTTAGCCAGCTAGTTGTCATTTTATGCTAGTTATGCTTCGTTCTTTAATTTCGTTTGACAAAGCAGCCTTTCCCGTTGAACCGAGGGAGCGACGAAGCGAAATCTAACACTAGAATCACTCGATAAAGTATTAGAACAGAGTTCTGAACGTCACGCTTCTCTGGTTTAAAATAACACATCGCTTCCATTGTTTCTTAAAGGATTTCATCAAGTGAGAATTCTGATCGTTAGAAATAGTTCGACATTTAAAGGACTATTATTCAAATTTTTAATACATTCCAAATGAGCATACCAATTTACAGAAGCGTTAAGATTTTATTCATAATATTACGTTGAATATTACCCCCTTCCTCCTTTACACACACAACTTTGCAATGTTTTTTTTTTCTATCCCCATGTAAATTAAGTTGTAAAATTTAATTTAGATTCCATTTCTTATTGTGTTTTAATAAATCTTGAAATAGTAAATATGTTATACAAAATAGATATTCGAAGGTCTTTTATACGAAGAACTACAGAATAAATCTTATTTCCTTTTTACTTCCACTGAAAAATTAATAAAACAGTCTTTTATATCGATTTAGGACTGGTTTCTTTTCTGGTTGATTTAATTATGCATAGAATTTATTGTAGAAAGGATTAATGAGCATTAGTTAACTGAATGCATGTTATAAAGTTATAAATTTATTGCAACTTTTGAAGGAGCAATGGATACGTACTGAATTCAACGGTACAGGTAAGCAATGAACATAGTTTTGGAATATATATATATATATATATATATATATATATATATATATATATATATATATATATATATATATATATATATATATATATATATATATATATATATATATATATATATATATATATAATATATTATATATATATAAAATATATAATAGAAATAGAGACCCATTTCATACAGGATTCTGCTTAGAGTGTTGAGTAGCCTATATCAATTCATGGCCTAGCCGTTAAGCCATGACTTGATAGACTTCCCATTCTGCCCCTCCCCCGCCTTCAAATACGACGTCGTAAAAAGATTTAGGACTGGTTTCTTTTCTGGTTGATTTAATTATGTATAGAATTTATTGTAGAAAGGATTAATGAGCATTAGTTAACTGAATGCATGTTATAAAGTTATAAATTTATTGCAACTTTTGAAGGAGCAATGGATACGTACTGAATTCAACGGTACAGGTAAGCAATGAACATAGTTTTGGAATATATATATATATATATATATATATATATATATATATATATATATATATATATATATATATATATATATATATAATATATATATATATATATATATATATATATATATATATATATAATATATTATATATATATAAAATATATAATAGAAATAGAGACCCATTTCATACAGGATTCTGCTTAGAGTGTTGAGTAGCCTATATCAATTCATGGCCTAGCCGTTAAGCCATGACTTGATAGACTTCCCATTCTGCCCCTCCCCCGCCTTCAAATACGACGTCGTAAAAAGAAAAACTTTAAAACTTTAAAGTTGTTTCCAACTTATTAAAGTGCCTAGATCAATTAACAATCCAATTACTTCCACTGTGTTGAAGGCCTGTTTTATAGACATAAAAACGCCACATTTCTTTCTATGACATTTCTCATTGTTTCCATCTAGGAAATCGATAGAAAACTTTATAATGAGTTAGGGCGACCAATAGAGCATGAAAAATTAATCGAACATTCTCTTCTAAATAATTAAAAAATGTATTTTTCATGCAGTTAGATACAGTAAAAATAACAGTTAACTGAAAAAGATAGAGTTCGATTTTAAACAACTATTAATGGCAGTTCATTTCATTACTAAGATGTAAACTGTTCAGTGTGTCTTCATTATGGATAATTTACTCATTCTAATTTCATCATTTCTTGGTAATTGTATTTTAATTCACAATCAATGGTATACAACGACTTAATGTTATGGTAAACTTTAGATAACCGGATACTTTACAGACATACTACAATTTTCTGGATACATAATACCTCATTAAAAACTTGTTAAATTTATTATCCATCTAATTGAAAAGAATGTATAAAATATTTAAAATTAATGGTTGTATCGATATAAATTATAATACTGTTACAGTTACATTGACAAAGTATCTACTGGAAATATAACACATTTTATTCGCACTCAGAAAAGGGCCTTTAAATATGCTTTTAATTAACTAATTTTTTCTTCAGAAAAAAACATATTACCCCGCAATCATTTGAAATAGTTTCGACTAGTTATCTTATTCTGGTGTACTCAAATATTGGTCTTTAAACCCTCTTAAATTCCACAATCCTAGTTTTAAATTATAATATTTCAATATAATATGTTTACAGTAAATGTTCTCTGTGATCCCACAAGCGAACACACTAATATCTTTTCACAGTGCATGCTGCCCTCTGTGATCCAACAACCGAACACTCTAATATCATTCCACAGTGCATGCCGCCCTCTGTGATCCAACAACCGAACACTTTAATCTAAAGAACGCCAGCGAGCTGACACTGCTACCACTAAATAAAACCTACCAGACCAAAAGTAACCTTGTGTGTGCTGCCAAATGTGTTGAGCTGAGAGATGAATGTTACAGCTATATGTACGAGACCTCAACCAAAACATGTACGCTAGGTCAGTTTAAAATTCAATGTTCTAATGTCACAGTTTTAAAATTTATTAAGGACATTTCTAAATAGTGTGGTTCTGTTTTTTTTTCTGAAATGATTTCTTTTAGATTTTAATCAAACGAATACTTTTTTTTCAGAGCTTTGTAAAATGTAGAAAGGTTTCATTGGAGTGTTTAGGTTACATGCTGCTGATGACTGCCGGAATTCTTTATAGTAGTGTCTTCGAAAGAATTGTTTTAATTCATGTTTTATGCTCATATAGGCTCCTGCCTTCTACCGATAGCCGCCGTCAACACGTCACAACCTGCTAACTCCAACAAACTTTACAGCAAGGGAATGATGTACTGCAATGTACAAGAGCTTGTGACGTCAGTAGGAAATGGGAGTATGAGTTCGTGTAACCTGGCCGCTAGTCTAGGTTTGTTTGGATATGGAGAGCTTTATTTTTAGCACTATTTGTTAGTGATAGCAAGGATGTTGGTCAGAATTTTTTTATTGTAGTTGTAGTTTCGTAAAGTGGCTTAGATTGTAAAATTGCATCTTCATCGCAAAGCATAAAGCGAAAGCACTAAAAAGTTCAAAAACCTAGCTTTCATGTATAGCTGTAACGTAAAGCAAAGTAGCTGTTTGGAGTTATCCACTAAGACTTGGGTTTCTAGCTGCTCGAAGCTCTAGTTGCCTCTACGACCAACAGACAGAAGTTATGTTGTTGGCGGAAGATGGGCGGGGAAGAATCCGTAATCTGAATCTCGATCTAAAGACAAATATTTCGTAAATATTTAAATAATTAGAGCTGCAAATAGTAATACGAATATAATAAATTATGTAATTCAAGTAGAAAATTCACTATGTTTTGCCTTAGTTTTCTTTAGCGCTATGTGGATTTTTACTGTCAACATTTTTTAAAAAAAGACTTTTAGTTTTAACCGTTGGAGAAACAAGGTTTTGGGGTAGCTCTAAAAATGGTGAGCATACTGACTCATGCGCCCAGGTTTAGTTCAACTCAGGAAACGGTTCGTGGCTATCTTCAACACTTTTATTTGGTCGGCGTGGTCGAGTCGGTAAAGCTCATGGTTGCTAAAACCGCTAAACCAAAAAGTCTCGAGTTCGAACCCTCGGGCAGATGAGGCTCGTTAGCTGGGGACAGCCACTCTTCTAGGAGAGACAACTCCAAAATCGTTCAACTGCTGCCTTGTAGTTTGTTCTTGTTTGGACAAAGACTACGGAAGCAAATCCAAAAAGAAAAGCAGGCTGAAATCTGAGTCAATGGTCTCAATGGCGCGTAACCAGTTGACACGTAATCCTTAATTTTGATGAAAGCATGGTCGAGTCGGTAAAGCTCATGGTTGATAAATTCGAGTTCAAACCCTCTGGCAGATAAGGCTCGATCCCTCCCAACACTAAAAATTAAGAACGAAGAAGAAGAAGAAGAAGATTTTGACACAATTCTTCACATTACAGAGTAGCCCACGTCCTAACCGCTACCAACTAACCCTTACAATCATTCACACCAGCTTTCATAACGCATTCGACCTTGGGATAACAATACATAAACACACCAGGGTTAACAATATTCTAGGGTCAACTCAATTCACACACAACCTACAGACGACCCGTAACACTGACCAGATTTAAATAACAGCGAAAGCATATTTCTAAATCTATTTATTCTATGGCAAGGGTGGCATTTTGTGATAATGCAATAAGATAGTGAGTTGGGGTAGATAAAAATAATATATGATTACAGAGAACAGGCGGAGCTTCAATTTTTGAATGCTAACTTTTTTTAATCTACAGGAGGCGTAGCACTAGGTAACAGAACAATCTTTGCTGCCAAAAGTCCAGACATCTTTAGATCATGTGCAGACGTGAAGAACTCAACGACTCCGAGACTTCTGGTGCAACTGTCGTCTGGTCTTGTCGTCATGTGTGACACTGTGACAGACGGAGGGGGCTGGACAATTTTTCAGCGTCGCGTCAATGGATCAGTTGACTTCTACAGAAACTGGACGGAATACAAATACGGATTCGGTGACTATGGTGTTGGTGATTTCTATCTGGGCAACGAAAATGTTTATTGTCTAAACTCAAAGTATCGTTTGGAGCTTAGGATCGATATGACTTACAAAGGACAAGATTACTTCGCTTATTATTCTAATTTTACTTTATTGTCTGAAAGCCAAGGCTACAAGATCTCATTCAGTGGATATTCAGGAACAGCCGGAGATTCTCTCACGGCGAAATCCAACAACCAAAAGTTCAGCACCTACGACGTTGAAAATGATATCGACCCGAACAAAAATTGTGCCGTCTACTACCGTGCAGCCTGGTGGTACTCTTACTGTATGGACGTCCAGCTGAACGGTAACTGGGGCAGCAAGGTGTTCGCCAAAGGCTTGATGTGGCTCAACACAACCGGCTACTACGACAGCGTCTCAAGTTGTGAAATGAAAATACGACCTGTTACTCTTTAAAGAATCAATGTACCTATGTTTACGTTAAAAAAGTCGAATAAATAAAGCAAGCAAATAGGCCTATATTGTAATTCATAAATTTATATTTATATTACTTTATTATTATCAATTTAAAGTTTCTAGTCTATAATTTTAAAGAAAATTGAGTTTATATTTTTATCTAGTTTTGTTTCACTAAAAGATATCATTTAATGAAATCATTTAAATTGAGTACTATTTCAGACAGATAAATGAAAATTCACATAAAAGTAAAAGATCTAATTTTCTGCCTGATTTCAAATTTTGAGTAATTTCCGTTGACTGGAAGTAGTATTTTTCGCTTCTTCCGATGTCTCAAAATACGCATGTTAATTTATAAAGTACAAAGAATATTCCTCACTATTATACACATTGCTTTTTGCGTTCACTCGGTGAAGTGGATTGTTATCTTAGACATATAATACAACAGACGAGGAAGCCATTTTTATGTAACCTTGTTTTATTCTGAATCGGAAACGGAACATAACATGCAAGGGACATCACTCAAACATTATAAGACTAATAAAAGAAGAGTGAGTTCCCCTCAATATAAAGCTCAATATATTACATCCCTTTACCCTTAGTAAATAATAACATAGCTTTCAAGAGAATAAATGATAGTATCCTAAAATCACTTTGCTATTTCCTTCTTTAGTCTAAAACATTAGAATTGCCAAACAATAATAAAAGAAAGATTGAATAATGATCCCCTTTCAATTAATAACACTTCAAAAGTCAATACAAAACATTATATGCATTCCTTCCGAAATGTCAAACAATGTAACAAATCACTAAATATATTGTAACATGAACATTATATGATTTGAATCATTTGGTAGATTAAATCCTTACAAACAAATGCAAAATATGCTACAACATAATTAAAATACAAAACAATGATGTCAAAGTCCTCTTAACCTTTAAAATCAAAGGTCTAACTTATCTGGGACTTTGATTGTCCTGTTTGACCTTCTCAGTGGCTGTTGATTTGGTGACTCAAGATTCTGACCATCTGGACTCTCTAGCTCAGGAAGTCCAGGATCTAAATAATTAATTCCAGAATTTACATTTTCTGACTCTAGAATACTTGGTTCACTCATATCAACAGACCTTGGTTGTGGAACAAACTGAGTTGGTGTGAACCGGTCAGATCTGGTGGGATTGATAGATTTACACTTATTATCTACACAAGTTATTTTTAACTGGTCTGCATGTCTACGGACAATAAGTCCATTATTTGTTTTTACTTTATAAGACACAGGTCCTGTACATTGAACAATTTGACCTGGCATCCATTTTTCCCCTCTCCCATAATTTCTCAGATACACATTATCATTAACCCCAAATTCTCTCTCAATGGATGTTTCGTCATGATTTAATTTTTGTGTAAGTTGATGTTGGGAAACAGACCTTTGAACAGTTGGATGTAGTAGGTCAAGGTGAGTTTTAATTTTCCTACCACACAGCAATTCGCACGGTGCAACACCTGTTGTTATATGAGGAGTTGTGCGGTATTTGGCTAAGAACCTATTTACTCTTTTAACATCATTCACATTTATATTGGAGTTATCCATGATAGTGAAAAGAACAAATACATCTTCTGGTACATAACTAAGGCTTTCGTTTTTTAAAGGTAAACGACTAAGACTATCTGCACTATTCTCAGATCCAGGTTTGTATTTCAATTCATAATTGTATGCGGCTAGTGTGATAGCCCACCTTTGAACCCTTGGTGAGGCATGCTCAGGCAGGGGTTTGTTTTCCCCAAACAAACCCAGCAATGGCTTATGATCTGTAAAGATGGTGAACTCCCGGCACCCCGTCAAAAGAGCGCACGACAAAAGAGCGCCGACATAAGAGCGCAGACAAAAGAGCGCCGACAAAAGAGCGCAGACAAAAGAGCGCAGACAAAAGAGCGCAGACATAAGAGCGCAGACAAAAGAGCGCCGACATAAGAGCGCCGACAAAAGAGTGCAGTCAATTATAAAAACACATGTTGTAAGCTAAACAAATATGGCATTAAACAATCGGCGGTACGATAAAACGACATGTGTTTATTTATATATTGTGGTTGATATGGTATAAATGCAGTTTGAAAATATTTCTAGCCCAATTAACATGGAGAAGATCGAATCACAGAAAGGGAAGGTAATTATTTTGGTCGAAGGCTACAGATATCGAAAGGACAGAGCAAATGCTGTTGGAAGTACGACTTGGAGATGCTGCAAGAAAGATGGCTGCCGAGGACGGATGAAAATGATGAACGATGTTGTTCTGTCATCATCGGAACACAATCACGCTCCTGATCCGGCTAAAAACGAAGCAGCGAAAACGGGCAGTGGAAGGGTTGGAAAACCCAAGGCAGATTATACAATTAGCATTTAGTAGAAGCTAGTCCTGCAGAAATTATGCCACTGGTAGATTATTGGGAGGATAGTTACATAGGAGGCGAAGGAGAAACCGTCGAGGTGACCCACGCTTCGCTCTTGCTATTTGGAATGTCCATAATTGTGTCTCTGAAAATCTACCACGTACGAACAACTCAGTCGAGTCTTGGCATCGCGCATTCCAACAAACGGTAGATTGCAATCATCCTTCCGTTTTTAAATTGATCAACCAGTTTCGTCTGGAACAAGATCACATCGAAATCGAACTGGAACGTCATCTGGCTGGAGTTAATCAACCAGAAGCTTCAAAGAACAAATATGTTCAGCTGAACCGAAGATTGCAGACAATTGCTTCAACCTATGCTAATGATTCAATGATGGACTACCTACGGGGTATAGCCCACAACTTAGCATTATAAATGCAACTATAAAGAAAATTTTTATTAATCTGAACTTATTTTCATTTTGTAACATTTCATTTCAGTTTATATTCTCAATTTAGGCCTAACTTTTAAAATCTTTGTATGTGTTACTACGTTGCGTTTTGAATAATTCGACTTCATGTTGATTATATCAGTTTTTTAATTAAAGAAACTGAACAGAGTTAGCTTCAAACGATGACGTCTGATCTGAGTTAATTTTCTTGTTCCTATTTATTAAATATGGTTTTTCGATTTTTAGTTTGCGCTCTTATGTCGGCGCTCTTTTGTCGGCAAATTGATGCGCTCTTATGTCGGCGCTCTTATGTCGGCGCTCTTTTGTCTGCGCTCTTATGTCGGCGCTCTTTTGTCGTGCGCTCTTTTGACGGGTCACCGAACTCCCTACCAAACAGAAACTTGTGAAATTTCTTAATACCAAAAATGAGGCCTAAGCCTTCCCTATCTAACTAAGAATAATTTTTCTCAGCCTGGTTCAAAGATCTACTGGCAAAAGCAATGTGTCTGTCACCATTTTCATCTATGTGGGATAAAACTGCTCCTACACCATCTGGTGAAGCATCACATGTTAAGATAAGTTTTTTTTTCCCTGGGTCATAGTGAGTTAGCAAGGTGTCAGAAGACAAAGCTTCTTTTGCTGCATTAAAAGCAGCATCTTGTTGTTTACCCCAGTGCCAAGTTGCATTTTTCTGCAGCAGCTTGTACAGTGGTGATAGTTTATCAGACAGATTCCCTATGAACTTTGCATAGTAATTTATCAAGCCCAAAAAAAGCTCTTAGCTGTTGGGTATTTTCAGGTTTGGGTGCTTCTTTAATGGCTTTTGTTTTCTCAGGTTGAGGTTTGAGACCCTGTCTGCTCAAACTATAACCGAGAAAACTAAAATCTGTCAGCATGAATTGACATTTATCTTTGTTTATCTTTAAACCCTTTTCACCAAGTATTTTCAAGACTTTATCAAGTGTTTTAAGATGTTCAGTGTCATTCTTACCAGTTATGTATACATTGTCATAGTAAACACAAACATTTGGAATGTCCTGAAAAATACTGTCCATGACAGCCTGGAAAATTCCAGGGCTAGATGATATACCAAAACATAGTCTTTCATATTGGTAGCGTCCCTTATTTGTGTTTATTGTCGTATAGACTTTTGAATCTGGATGAAGTTCTAGTTGAGTGTAAGCATGACTAAAGTCTAATTCAGTGAATTTGTCTCCTCCTGCTAAATTCAAAGAAATTTCCTCAATGTTAGGAATGGGTACCTATTTAGCTCTATTTGCTTATTCAGTGTAGCTTTATAGTCTCCACAAATTCTTACAGAACCATCCTTCTTTAACACTAGCACAATGGGCGTAGCCCAATCGGAATAGTCTACCTTCTTTATGATGCCATTAGATTCCAATCTACTTAGCTCATTTTCAATTTTATCCCTCATTGCATAAGGTGGAACTCTAGCTTTGCAGTATCTTGGATTTGTGTCTTTAATGCTTATCTTCACTGTCCTATCATTTAGTAACCCTGAACTGCCAAAGACACCTTCATTTTCAGATACAACTTTATCTATTGAAGTAAAACTAGATTCTCTTGCTTTGTTCACTGAAAATATACTCCCCCAGTCTAACTTAAGATCAACCAACCAGTTCCTACCTAGTAATGGTGGTCCGTTTCCTTCAACCACAAGAAGAGGAAGTTTAACACTTTGACCATTATAGCTTATATGAACTATACACTCTCCTATCACCGGAACATTGTCACCTGTGTATGTTGTTAGGCACTTGTGACATGTTTGTAGAGGCACTGATCCTCCTGTGACAGCGTCAAAGTCCTTCTTTGTGATGACGGTTAGAGATGCTCCCGTGTCAAGTTGGAAGATGATGCTCTTACCGTTGATACAAACTAGTACGTAGATGGGAGCATGACTTGTTGATTTCACAGAGAACAGGTTGAACTCCGGCTGCGGATCAGTTTGAGCATTTTCACTGGTAGAGTGGTTCATTGGTTGGGTTAGGCTGTCTTGGTGACAGTTAACATAGTGCTGCCTTTGGTTGCGGTACTGTCCTGACTGGCTAGATCTAGCAACAGACGAAGACTTTGCAAAGCAGGCCTTGGCAATGTGACCTTGCTTACTGCACTTATAGCAAGTTGCTGACTTGAACTTGC